TCGACGTGGAAGGGACAATGGAGGAGGTGACCCTTTGGAGAAGAGGCCAATGACATTCAAATGCACCAAAGAAGACACACCTCAAGAGGTTTCAAAGGACCATGGCGGGGAAAAGACTGTTAGATCTTCTCCTGCAGCCGCGTTGATAAGTCACTTTAGACTTGCTCAGAGAATTCTCTATTTCGCGAAATATTCCACTGTTCGCTTAGTATTTCACTTTGTAATTGTAATCCCTATTACGTTGTTCAGTTATTAAATAACTTTTGATTTTTGAATTTAAACGAATTGACTCATTCGTGTCCTCGTTTCCGGCCGGGACGAGAACAAAGGATTGAGTCCTCCCTCGAGAGCTTCCGAAACCTTAACACTACCTTTGTACCGTTTTGTACCTTCCTAATACTGCAGCTGGCATTTCCGTCTCCCCTCTCACACGTCCACCTACTCTGACTCCCTCCCTCCCTGCCCTGCTAAGAGAGGAGAGCAGCATGGCTCGGGGCCATTACCCATCACATCTTAATAAGCAGAGAACCACAGGCCTCCCGCATGCACGCACGCACGCACGCACGCACGCACGCACGCACACACACACACACACACACACACACACACACACAAATTAATTAATTAATTAATTAATTAAAAAGCACGTCGCTTAAAATGCGTGCACACATGCTTGTTCACCAGCACACACACACACGTTGCATTTTGAGCCCTGGCCGTTTTCATTGACAAACTAGGTGCACAGGCCTAATCTCCATCCCTACAGCAGCAGGGCACATCTGTCACCAGGGTAAAACATAACAACCCCCCCAGCACCCGCATCCAATGAACAACCCACCTTTGGATTGGTTCCCACATATAGCCTGGCAGACATGCACAGACACACAACGAGACGACCGTGCTGTCAAATGAAAATCAACCTGCCAAAAAAGTGAACGCTGACTGCAGTCGGTGGATACAGATTTCTAGACACCAAATGGATTAAACGATTAGTTTACCATCTCAGCACAGGAGACGGTTGGTTGCTTTCATTATCCACCTTATCTTCCTCATCTCTCCTCACAGTAAACACACAGAAGAAATCCCGCTGTAACCCACCCTGTGTTCGCAATAACACCCGAGGGTGATTAGTGAGATCGATACGTACTTTATTATTTTCATGTTTTGGGGTGCATCAGTGACGGTGTGTGTTTGTATGTGTGCACAGTACACACGTGATCAATTGCACACTGTTACCTCGGCCAGCACGCTGCCTGATTTCCTGATTTGCAGGACTACAAGACCCTGAACCGCTTCCCAGAACTGCTGGAAGGACCCTTTGAAGGGTAAAATAAAAAAAGGCTTATCCAAACATATGAAAGCATAGACACTGATAGGGACAAGTTGTGTTCCTGGTACTTGTGACCCCGTCTCCCACGTTGAAACAATGAGCACGGTGAAAGGACCCGGGCCTGCCGGTGGTCCCAGCCTTTTCTTTCCTGACCATGAGAATGAGAGCAGAATGCCTCGGAGTGTTTCCTCTCGTCTGCTATTAAATAAGGAGCGACTCCGACAATACACAGCACCCCGAGAAAGGCGCTTGGTTGAGGGGCCGCAGTGTTACAGCACACACAAAATCACACATCCATTGCCTTACTCTGCTTCTGCTTCTCAACACACACACACACACACACACACACACACACACAAACGTAGTTGGCTAACGCGCCATCAGAGATGTTGCCAAAAGGCCAGATTGGTTAGAAGGGGGTCTTCTTGGTTAGAGGGGGGGAAACGGTTCCCAGGCCTCGGAGAACAAAACTTTCTCTTTTTTTTCTCCAGCCGGGTGGATTTAAATGCTCGCTCACACAGCAGCAGGCCGGTCCACATGGAGACCGAAGCTGCGCCTCAGCGATTTCACTCCAAGTATGCTCCCGCTGCCTGGCGAGTAATACTGAAACACATGCATTGACTAAACACTGACCGATTAAGCTAATTAAAGAATATTAATACACACAAATACTGCGAAGGGAGGGGAGTATTTTGGGTCATTTTCAACATTTTTATAATTTACAACAGCAACGCATCAGTGTAAAATAATCGTATGAGGAAAAGCAGCCGGATGAGATGATAACTTGGGAAAGTGGATCCTGCTCACTGCTAGAGAATATAGAGATGAATTAAATGCCTGCCAAACAAGAATGACAGAACAGCAGCGATATATATATATATACACAGTCAACTGAAGACAGTGTTCATCCCCACTGCGTCGTCCGGCCTATAATCATCACCTACCGGAGGCGAGGTATTTCAGACAGCACCTCCGGAATCCGGCGGCCAGGTATTCCATGCGCCGTCCGAGCCGGTGGCCTTTAGAGACCAAACCAGTGTGAGCAGGCGACGGGCCGAATGTAACGACGACTGCGCCTCAGGACAGGAGGCCGCTCTGAGACCTGCTACACTGCTGCTGCTGCTGGATGTAAGAACAGCGGCGCAGAGGAAGGCGCGTCACCCGACCACACTAACACTTCTGTGTCTTGTCCTTCCTCTCACGGATGGGAAGCCCGTCATTTCGCAAAGGTGTGACAGAAATGTTGGGTAACACATTGCCCCACGTCCTGCTCTCTGTGAAGATACTTCCCCAAAGTCCTTCTCGGTCCAATGGTCCATGACCAGATTTCTCCGCGCTCGTACTGAGCGTGAGAAGTACAGTAGCTCTCTGAGAAGAGCCTTATGGGCTAACAATGACAGTCAGGGAGGGGGGAAATGGGGGGGGGGGATACACACTGCAGTCAGGAAGCTGTTGCACCGGCTGGAAACACAGCGGATATTTTGGCTTCTTTTGGTTTACCGCATTGTGATAGAAGCCAGTAAACACTGACAGTGTTGACCGAGCCGATAAAACATTATGCATTAGTGTCCATGTTTCATGGACAATCCGAAAATAAACTGATGGATGTGTTTTCCTATTGATTTAGAGTTAAAAAACATCATGGCCGGTTATTGTGTAAGTGGATGGTTGGTTTGTTGCAAAGGGGCACATGACTCTGCGTGGGACGGTGCGTTCAAAGGTCCTCCTGCCCACTGGGGGAAACATGTGTGAGCCTGTACCTCCACCTACTGGAGCAAATGGAGCACACCCGACTTGATCCTAGACTATTTTTGTTTGTTGGTTTTCCTCGTAAAATAAACAAGTCTCTGAGTTTTCTGTAAGCAAGCGGCACATTTAATCATCATAATGTCGCACTGACAGAGCTGGCCCGGCGTGTTCTGTACCTTTAACCTTGACAAAAGGGAAGTTTCACTTAAAACACTTTGTAGTTGTACAGAACTAAACCGTTGAAAGCTGAACTTCACAATGTAATATTTTTTGGTTGCCACTGTTGGCCGGTAACCCCAACACATCGATAACCACTGCATCTTCTTACACAGGAGCACCTCCGTGTTCTATTAATATGGTAGTATAGGTTTATAGTCAGTGCTGTAGTGGTAAAATTAGAGGTGGGTAAACTCTGAAACACAAAGCGTTGCGACTCTGTAAGGCTGTCCTGGCTATATTGCATTATGTTAAATGTTAAATTTAAGAAAAAGTATGTCAACACAACACAACAACAACACAACAACACAATTGCAGATTAAGAACTATCTACATACGGAGTCTCCTTTTTACAGTAGTGCCCAGAGGGCCTCCTTGTCCTCCACGTCAGGTCCTGCCTTGCACAGAGGAGCCATGAACCCCAGAACGCGTGTTCTGGGGTTCATGGCTCCTCTGTGCTTCTCTTCTCTCTATTGGACCTGGTGTTTCTCCTCTCCCTGTGCTCTCTGCATCATTGCCTGTCCTATCACTGCCTGAAAAAATATGTTGAATTAAGAGTTAACCAGTTAAGCGGCCTGTCAATTACTCTGACAACATAAGTTAAAGGAATATACAGCATGTTTTTTTTTCACATTGAGAACTGACTTGTTTTCTAATCTACGCATCATCAGGCGTTTCTCTTGTCCTTTTACCGTGCACGACCAGCAAACACAGAGCGCGCGACTACTACCCCCCTCGCTCCCCCCACCCCAACCCCCCCCCCCGTCGGTCGTTCCGCCCGCAACGACTACTACACCTCCTGAGAAGAAGGAGAACGACTAGAGACAGGAGAGGCCCTCAGGGCGAGACAGGCTCGGGATCGCCTTTCAGAGGTGGTATGTAAACAAGGGCTATGCTGTAGGTGTGTGTGTGTCACAGTCTGGCCATTTTTACGCTTTCCCAACGATTAAAAACAAAAAATCCAGAACCCTGAGTCACCAGCAGCCCAGTTAAAGACCCCACAATCCGTAGTAATCCTTTTAACTAATGCTCTTACTGCACATGTGCGAGAACGGGGACATTCCCACAAGGGGTCACTTTGAAAATACAAGTACGTAATGTCAGAGTAGAGTGAAATAAATGGCGTTAATGGTATTAAGGCGCGTGGGGGGGGTTGTAATAGTTTGTCAAGTCGCTTGCGTTGTGTCCCGCATTCCTCAGGTGAACTCACCTGCTTCCTGCGGCTCCGCGGCGTCCAGACTCTGTGTCTTCTTGCGAAAAGCGACCCTGTTGAAGCCGTCCATTCTGCCACGAGCCCTCGGGCCCCGCGAGGCATCGAGGTGCGCGAAGGTGAAACGCAGCTCGGAGGCCACCGGAACTAAGCGACCATCGAGGAAACGCGGCGGCCTCCTCGCTGCTTCGGGGGGCGAAAAAATGCGCGGCTCAATGAGTAACCGCATGTGAACAGATGTACACATGTGTCGATTGACTGCGAAGCTGCGGAAACTTCTCTCTGAGCAAAGTCACCTTGGTGGGCGGGGGATCTCCAAAAGCCCCCCCCCCCCCCCCCCTCTCCTCCACACACACACACACACACACACACACACACACACACACACCTCTGCTGATTTCAAAAACAGCTCTGAACCGATGTTCAGTGTGAATGCATGGATACAGAGTGAATTTTGGTGTAGATTAAAATACAAAACAAAAGGTCTCATACAAATCGAAGGACAGGTCTTTTATTTAGTAATAGTAATCGTAATAGTAATCAATTTTAAATGGTCTTAAATGGAGGAGAAACTGTAGTACAGCTGTTGTTCTTTTTAGACCTTTCATTTCTTTCACTGGATTAGTCTTTCCGTCTACTGCTCTATTGTGCAAACAAGAGGTCACCAATGGGCCGGCGTGCGTTCATAAGCTACTTCTGAACCAAACATATTTGCATCACTCCAGAGTTGCAAAGAGAAAAAAACGAGCACTCATTCATTGTTGATCGAACAAAAAGGCTTTTATCTGTCATTCCAACACTATACTGACTATGTGGTTTCAGTTTATCCATTTTATATCCATCAGGTATTCAGTATTTAAGTATTCAGTGCAGTAAGGAGAATAACAACATCAAAGACATTTAAAAGAGTGTACAGAGACTGAGAAATGATACAATTATGCCACAAACTCACACATATTACATCCATCGGTGATACTTTCTAAATCAGACCATTCCGCGATGTTGTTGGGAACAGTGTTTCAAAAAGAAACAATCTCGATTGCGTCTCTGCGACACCCGCGCGCTTCTTGTGAGCTTGCTGGTTAGTTCATGGTGGCAGAAATGGTTGAAAGATATAATATCAATCTACGACCGGAATTTACATATTGCTATAATGCAAAGTGCATAATTGTGCTTGGACTGAACTGCATACTGTTTTGAAGGAAGTATAGGTGGGGGACAGCTGAGCAGGGAGGAGAAACGTGTAGCCTGGGATGTAGAAAATGTAAATCCTGCCACCTTCAATACGAGTCGATGGGGGTGATGATAAACGTTTTTTGGGAGTCGTAACCAATACAGTGAAAGAGTTAAAGCTTTATGGGGAGAATACAGTGTTGACATGACAGTGACAGTAACCGGTGAAGAGGTTCACCTTTGGGGAACCGTCGGCTTTTAATTAATGTTGAAAAGATTCAGGTCAGTTCACTTACTTAAACCTGTGCAATTCAAGAGGAAAAAACAAACAAAAACAACCCAGGCCCTGATCTCAAACACTCGGTTTCTCATCTACCTCCGTCTCTGAAGAGACCTGAGCTCCATGACGGACGCAACCACGTCGCTAGAGTCGGCTTTAAAGGTTAATACAAATAATAGGAGGTATAAAATAGTCTTTATTTGCACAAATCTCACAATCTCAGTATAAAAAAAGCCCAACCAACCTATAGGAAAGACTAGTACCGTAAGAAAGGTAGTCCACCGATCATCACCACCACCATCACAAGAAACAATATTTATGTAATAAAATAACCCAAGTCCAAGAAGCACCTTGTCTGACCCGCTAGTTTGAAGGACATTTTATTCAAGGAACCCCCATCCATAGTGTCTCCGTCTCTGCGTGACTCCTTCTGGCCAGAGTCTGGCCTGCAGCAGCGAGGTCAGGTGCCGGGGGGGCCGCGGTTGCTGGGCCGGACCGCTACGAGGGACGCAGGGGGAGAGGAGACTACTGCTACCGGACAGGACTGTGCCGTGTCGCTGGAGTTCTGCCAACAATTTAGGACTGTAAGAACGCAGAGAGACAAGAGAGGAGGGGGAATGAGACACGGGAACAGTTGTTGGAAGAACGAGGTGGCAGCAAACCGAGAAACAAAGAGAAATGCAGCATGTGTGATGAGGGCAAAACAGCTGGCGGCGGTTTTTATTAAAGGGAAAAGTTCAACTTTTTTGGTGAAACACTTAGTTGCTTTCTTTGCCCCCCCAACCCAAAATATTTCCCCAAAAGGTGAAACTTATTCCTTTAAAACCACAAGGAAACAAGGAACGAACAAAAGGTTGGCTGAGCAGCAACGCTAAAACCAAGAAATGGCCTTAGATCTTTACATGCTACAACTACACACTAAGTTTAATATCATGGTTGATTTTTGAAGTGAGAATTGTGACTAAATATATCCAGTTAAAAAAGGTATAGAACCCTACCATGCAAAACTCCACATCCTATTCATAAATAATTAACGGAGAGAGTTCGGGACATCCATCTTCTAGATATTCAACAGAAGACGTGCGCGCTGAATAGAATGTGAACGCCGTGTTTGTGATGGCGTGTGGCGGGTGGACGGACACGTGGACGGATGTCGATGAGCCCACTTCTGGCAGGTTGTGCGGCTGGTTACCTGCGGGCTAGGGAGGCTCTCCCTCGTCTTAGTTGTGGGGAGAGTGACGGTACTGAGGCAGCAGGCTGCTGACAATCTACAAGAAACTGATAAATTAGACAAATGCACAGAGTGGGGACACTCCGGGTTAGACAACGGAAGACAACACAGGGGAAGGTCTAGTCGGGGGGGACGTTTACACATGATCATCCTCATTTGGTTTCTCTCATGCTGTGGAAATCAAGTGTTTCACAACGTCAACGAGAGAGCGCCTGACATTCACGGGACACGGCTGCATAGTTTGAAGGTCACTAAACTGGTTTGACTCATTTGATGACGTTGAAAGGACCAGCTTGCAAGACACACAAATATGGACATATTTACACACACACACACACACACACACACACACACACACACACTCACGCACACTTGAAAATCCAATATCATATTGATTAGTACACAAAAAGGAGAGAACAAAAATAATCCAGTACAGCTGAACTCCACAACACCTGCTAGTCAATTATATTCATGAACTCCACCAGTCATGTTTGTCTGTTGCACTTAAACGTTGTTTATATGGCGTTGTGTTATCTTAAAATGTTGTAAATTAACTATTCGCTTTTGCTATGCACTCAATGATTATCTGAGGTAGGACAAAGGATTGATGGAGAGAGAGAGAGAGTTAAACAGCATTTGACAGCAAAGAATAGAAATATACTCAAACGCTGTCATCAGGTGTATCGAGAAATAGTTTCTACCCTTGTGCTCTTCATCTTGGATAGTATAAATGGGCCAGGTGGGGTGGGGGGGGGGGGGGTGTGGACAAAGTGAAATGCGCGGGTTGAGACACAGAGAGGAGGTCTGACTTGTTTCCACATCACTCAGGACACCAAGTAGCACACTTCAACCTTCTCTGATGCTTTTTGACATGACGTTAGGTGTGACAAATAGACATGCAATAAAACTTTTGAGAAAATGTAATTTACAACACACAGGAGTTTAGGGAATAGAGCAGTTAAATGACATTTAAATAAATGTAAAATATAAAATATTATAACACATTATTAATAGAGTCTGCCACAGGGGGGCGCTGCGAGTCACGCTGCACTGAAGTGAGGGGCTGCAGCCGTTTGGTGGGAGTTGGTTTAAACTAGCCGCTATTCAGACGCCGAGAGGGAAGCCTGTCACATTCCTAAAGTTCATTAGAAAAAAGCATCCACGGTCCGACCTTAAGGATACGAAAAGGGCTGAGTGGTGATTTGCCGATGGAGCGAGTGTCGCCGCATATTCAAACCACGGACATGTGAAAACCAGGGACCCCCCTCCCCTTCGTGTCCCATACAATCCAGGGGCTTCTGCGAGCTGCGTGCATGGTGGATTTTGCCGCTGCGTGTGGGGGGATGTTGCCGCGGTCACCGCCTCCGTCGAACGTGAGGAGACACTGAGCCGGGGCCACCGACGCTGTGGGACGGGGACGGTCGCCCTATGTCTCGTCTCGAATAAATGAGCCGTCTGAACTCTAAGGTCAACCGCTCGGGGTCGGCCATGTCGGGCTTGGGGTCCGAAGTCCACGCGGACATGGCCGGACAGGCGGTTAGTTCTACAGAGGGAGGACTACTCGGGGTCTGGGAGAGGTGGGTGGTGATGATGGAGGGGCTGTGTACCCTGATGGGACTGGAGGGAGCCGTGAAGGCGCCTCTGCCACTTACTTTGGGCGGGCTGCTCTTAATCTTGGGCACTTTGGCGCCCCGGCCGCGGTGGATCTGCTCGTGGTCAAACTCCAGGTCCTCCAGCCGTTGGGTCAGCGCCAGCTTCTGCTGAATGGCCATGCGCAGGAGGGAGTTCAACGTCTTCTTCTCATCCTCTGCTGCCGCCAGCTGCCTCTGCATCTCGTCCAGCTGTGTGACGTACTCGTCACATCTACACAGAGAGAGAGACACATAGGGAGGAAACACAGATTCAGTCTGTGTGTCAAATTCTCCCTTTAGCACCCGAGAGGCGTTAATACTTCCCCTCTCACCTGGTGGCGAACATTGCCCTGAGAGACGAGAAGGTGGCGGCATCTTCTTTGAGAGCCTTCAGCTCGTTCCTCAGCTTCATCATGGTCTCCGTCACCATCATCTTTTCATTCTCGTACTTGCTCTTCAAATTAGCCAGTGCCCCCTCTGCTGTCTGCAGGAGGCCAGTGTAACATTTTAGTTAGAGCAAAGTTCTACTCGACACCGGGTGTGAAATAATTAATCAGGACATTCATTCTTAAAAAGAAGGAACAGAGTTGAAAGTTGCTGCTCTGCCTCTCAGTCTCTGGTTTGTAGATTCATAAGCAGGATGATTTAGGACACAACACATTTACTACCTCCCTTACGATGAGTCGCTAGAACACTGCTGGAGAAAAACAGTGGAGATATTCTGAAAAACACAACGTCAAGTAAGATTTTCTCTTTTCCTCACCTGTTTGTTGGCCTTCAGCACCAGCCTGAGCGTGGCTATCTGCTCTCTCTTGGTGCTGAGCAAGGACTTCAGTTTGAGGATCTCCTCCAAGCACATCTCCTTGTCCTTGTCCAGCATGGGCGCCAGCTCCCTGGCCGCCGCCCTCTGCCTGGACAACTGCAGCGCGCGGTCCACAGCCCTCTGCAGGTGCTTAATCTGGTCCCTGATGATGGCGTTCAGGTTGTAGATGTTCATGGGCTCCTTCCGCAGGTCCCCTCCAGCCTCGGAGGGCACCGGAGACGGGCAAGGAGAGGCGGCGATGGCCGGGGAGCCCGCCGGGTTGCGGGCGGGGCTGCCGTGACAGGAGTCCACCACGTGGGCCGTCGTCTCATTGTGACGGGCGGAGTCCACGGGACTGCGCGGGGGATCGGAGGAGCACGCCGCCGATGCTGCGGCCAGGCGGCGAGCCAGGCGAGGCGTGAGCAGCGCCCGGTGGTCCTCGGGGCCCTTCGGGCTGCCGCCGCGCGTCACGCGGCTCTGGCGGTAGTAGTCCAGCATGACGCGGTTGGGGGTCTCGTTGTTGCACAGACACACGTGGTGGTAGAGCTGCGCCAGTTCCTCGCTGAAGGTCACCAGCTCGTCCTGTGCGGCGTTCAGCAGGCCCTGGCCCTCCGCGGCCGCGCTGGCGGCCGCTCGCAGCTCGGCCTCAAGGTTGGTCACCCTGACCCTGCTCTCGCGGTAGCAACGCTCCAGATGCGTCACCTGCTTGGGAGAAATGCGTTGAGCTCAGTATCGTAAGGTTGACGTTGCTATTCATGGAGTAATAAAAACCCTTAAAAAACCTGTGCGCTATAATGACAAACCTGTTCATTCAATGCCGGGACCCTGTCGTCACCGTGGCTGTCCCCCTGCCCCTCCACAGCCGTGTTGTACTTCTCCTTTAGGGCCTTGAGTTCGGCTTTCAGGTCGATCACCTCCGTCACGGCCACCTTGTACTTGCACTCCAGGATCTCGAGGCCGTGGATGTCGGGATCGTGGTGGCCGTTGGCCGGCGGTGAGAAGGAACGGCCGTCAGGCTTCTTGCTGTCCCGCGGGTCGGCGAGCTCTTTGTCCCCGTTGAGGCTTTTCATGCCGTTGACGTGCTCCATGAGGCGATGGACCCGCTCGTTCTGCTCGGTCAGGGCGCCCTGCGTGTGCTGCAGTTGGGTTTGCGACTCCTGCAGGTTCATGAGCAGCGCCGACTTCTCGCGCTCCACCTGCGGGGCCGCAGGCACACGAGAGGGAAGAATGTACAGCCGGGTGTCTGATACAAGTTCATAAAACCAAAGTACTGATGGGCCTGTCATGAGTGTGTTTTGCACTCAGTTGAAATGATATACATAACTGAATTAAGTTTTGGGGTTAACGTCGGGAGCAGCTTTAAAGACCCTGAAATTGTCCAGACAGTAACTCGACACTGACGACGCTGATCATGAAATGAATATTCAGTGACACGGAAGAACAAAGCCAACACGGCTGGTTTTACTGAGGTTAGTTAGTTAGTTACCTGCAGCAGCTGCTGTTTGAGTTTCTGCATCTCGGACAGGTTGAGCTCACTGAACAAGTCCGGCACGGGGTGCAGGCCTTCTCCTTTCCGATTCCCCGGTCGGTAGTCCCCATTCATCTTACCCGATCCGGTGCCCGTGTGAACGTGGTCATTCCGCCGGTTGGTGTCCTCATTGTTGCCGTTGGCGGCGGGAACGGCGCTGCCGTTGGTCTCCTCTGGGAACTTGAGGCCCTTAACACCGGTGACGGTGAGCGCCAGATGGGCGCCCGCTCCGTAGACGCTGTCGCTCAGGCTGAGGTGGTGGGCCAGTTCCTTCCTCAGATTGTTCTTCTGCTCACGCTCACTCTTCAGGGCGTCTAAGGCCTCCTCCAACTGACCCTCAGAGATGTCCTTCAGACGCAATGCGTCTTCCAGCTGACTGTTGAGCTGAACAGTCTCCTCCTCCAGCACCTTGATTTCGTGTTTTAGTCCCTCATACTCCACCTGAGGAGCAGCAGGAACAGGAGAGAAACAGTAGGATGCATTTAATTGAAATACTTGATTGCCGTATACGTTCTAAAGCATCATGAGGACACTTTCATAGACGCAACGGGACGCAAGGAAGATGTGAGTGCACGCAAATAGCAGCAAAGGACATTAAACATATTTAAAGGGAAAAACACTTAATTAAAGTCAGACAACTTAAACCAAACATGTAACTTCTTTTGACACAGTACTCTGTGACAACGTGGTATTTTGATTTATCGTGGTTTTGCTCAATATTCAATCTAAACACAAGCCAGATGATGTGGTAAAAAATACTTGTTATTATACACTTTCGCTTTCATTTCATTAGACGTCATCTTTCCTGTAAAATCAGCACACACACACACGTCAAACAACCCACAGACACTGTGTGACTGTGTGGAACTGGACAGCGGATACTGCAGCACCTCAAGGTGAATAAAGGATGAGCAACGAGATGAGAGCCCTGTTTGACTCAGTGCCTCCTGGAAATAAAAACGCAGAGGGGACCACGTTCGAAGGTGGTTTTGGAAACTGAGCGCTGATAATCAAAAGTTATTTCCATGGGCTTAGTTGGGGGTTTGCTGTCTTGTCTTGATTTAAGAGTTAAGTAAGGGGGGAAGCAGGATCTGCCAAGCAGGCAGACACGAGTCTGACAGGATGGGGAGTCAGTTTATGTCCTGGCTGAGGAATGTAAGGTCTGCGGGTCAACTAGAAGATTTACCAGCCAAAGGGGGGTTAGAGACACACCAACACTATTCAACATACACACTCTGTTCACGATGTTTACGTTAAGTCAGGAGTCTGGACATTGGATGTGACCGGATCTTAGATGCGGGAGGTGGAAGGTCCTCCTCTACGCCAGTTTAGGGCCAATAGAAATATTTCCTTCTCTGTCTTTCAAGGGTTATAAAACATGATGTTCTTGCTGATGTTAGTTAGTTGTTCTTCCGGCCTGTGTGCTGCCTGAACTGCTCCTGCCTTTGCAAACGCAGCGCTGATACTTGACCTGTGATCTGACAAATAAATTTTCCAGAACGAGAGAAGTTATTCGGCTGAATTTTTGATAACCCCGACCAGGCTCCAAATCTTGAACACGTATTCTTACAATTTGGTGACCCCGACGTGATTTGCTGACCTGGACAAAGAAAGACCGGGACGTCCGTTTTCCGGACCGAGCTGAAAGGACCGGCGGCGTGGTTCAGCATTGACAACAGGCGCGCAAAACAGAATCAGGTGAGCAGACAACCTTTTGTTCTAAATGAATAAAATGTCTGTGATTGGATACTTCTAAAAAGATTTGTTGTCAACTGCAGAATTCGTCTCTGTCCATTGACTGAATAAGGTCGTTATAAGACCATTAAATTTAAAACTAAATTTGAAAATTTTCTGTTGATCACATGTAAAGTATAAGCACATACTCACACTGAATTCAACGTTAGGGAAAGTGAATAAGTGTCCATAGGTTTAGGGATTTAGGTAAAAATATATATACTCTTAGTCGGTAGAAAGTTGCAATCCGTGTGGTACGTAGATACCTCTGGTAACTGCAGTCCCACGTTTGCATGCAGTGGACTGGCAGTTTAGAATAGTGTAGGGGTTTAGGTTTAGGGACTTAGGTAAATATATGAAGAGTTCAAAAAGGAATGACGGGGCTCACTTGAGTTCCCTGAGGTCGACTCTTAGTCTGTAGAAATCCAAGTTGCAATCCGTGTGGTACGTAGATACCTCTGGTAACTGCAGTCCCACGTTTGCATGCAGTGGACTGGCAGTTTAGAACAGTGTAGGGGTTTAAGGTTTAGGTTTAGGGACTTAGGTAAATATATGAAGAGTTTAAAAAGGAATGACGGGGCTCACTTGAGTTCCCTGAGGTCGACTCTTAGTCTGTAGAAATCCAAGTTGCAATCCGTGTGGTACGTAGATACCTCTGGTGACTGGGGTCCCACGTTTGCATGTCGTGGGCTGGCAGTTTAGAATAGAGCAGGGATTTATGTTAATCTTAGTCTGTAGAAATCCAAGTTGCAATCCGTGTGGTACGTAGATACCTCTGGTCCTGCAGTCCTACTCGTGTGATTCTTGGACTGGCAGGTTAGAATATTAGATGAAGAAATAAGGACACAGGGAAAGATTTGTTGTTTTTCATACTGGGAAATGTGTGGGTGGTTGGTGTAACTCCTGGTGTTTTACCGAACCTGGAAGCTGGCCGTATCAGGACTTGAAAAAGGACTGAGAATCCGACAGTGAAAAGTGTTTGACCGGATTACACATCTGTGGGGATATGTATTAAAGGGTAAAAGGGAAAATCATAGTTAAATGATGGTGGTATAAATACGAGAGAAATAAAACAACACGAGTGAACTGGTGTTGGTGGTGTGTCCTTTCTCTTGTGTTCAAAAACCACGTGTGAATAAATAAATAACCTGTGATGAAAATGGAGGAAACCATAACGATATGGGAGAGGTGTAAAGAAGGCACTCTGGGTTTCGCCCTATTTAAGACTTATAAGAGACATATGGATAAAACCCTAGAAAAAGATAGGAAATGTGTAACAAAAAAATATGTGAAGTGGGTTGCACAGATGCAGGAAAGAGGAATGTTTGGAAGGGAGACAGATTCTCAACCAACAGGCGAGCAGCTGCAGGACCATCTTAGGATGGCGAGAAGAGGAAAAGACCAAGCGCATGCGCTCCTTGCCGTTAAGGGGAGATTTTGTGGAAAAGAGAAGAAAAGTGCAGAAAAGGCAGATGAGTTCTTAGTGGACTGTAGAACATTTCTGGGAGAAATAAATGCGGTATTCGTGAGTAAGACGGCAATGCAGTTGCCGCAAACCAAAGCAGGAGAAGAGAAAGTGCATGAGACCGGTTGTAAATCTAGTGCGCCTCCTACCTACTCGACAGGCCCATATGCGGAGGCTAATCGGTTGTTAAATGAACCACTTCAGATGCCACTGAGGCAAGGGAAAGCTACTAATCCAGGAGAATCTCAGGTTTTGGTAGTTCAAAATGGGTTGTTACAGGTAACCCCATATCCACATGAAGAGAATGATGGGGTGGAGAAGGTTTCTGCTTTTCTCTCAGAGACGGTACAATATTTGGAGGACAGGCCCCAGCCGGAGCCTGTCAATTGGAGTAATCCAAACACAACACAGGGTCACTCGACAGTCGGAAAGAAGCGGCAACCCGAGCACAGACCTATGACCTCATTTAATGTAGGGGGAGGAAGAGTTGCAGGAGAAGAGACTTTGTTAGAAGTCATAGCCCAGGCAGAGCGGCAATCAATCACCCGGCGTGGACAGGATGAGCGGGGGAGGCAGGTTGAGTCAGAGGAAGATGAGCCTGTCCCTGCAGATGATTGGGACGAGGAATTTCAGGAGCATGGAGCAGCGCTAGAGTCACAAAAACCACAGTCATCTACTCCGATGGAGCGCCATGAGACAGGGGGGTTAAGAGGTAATAGGAACAGATATTATCAGGGGAATGCAGCCAGAGCGAATGTGAAATCAAAAATCAGACGGGATGCTCCGGCCTCTCATCAACTACCACTGTTAACGGCTATTTGTAGAGACGGAAGTGAAAAAACAACATATCCGCCACTCGCATTGTCAGACCTAAGCACGATGAAGCTCGCATTACCTAAAATAGAGAAGGGTGGTGCAGCGTGGATTCGTGGGTTCCTTGCTCAGTGTGCGGGTAGTGTTCCCGGTTTGGGGGATCTTAGAAGAATTTTTGTGGCGTGTGCCTCACTAGCTGACCTCCAGAAGTTAGAGGGGGAAGCCGGGACCTCTGACCTCCCTGACGGGGAGCCTCTGGCAAATTGGGTGTCAGTGCTCTGGCCAAAGCTCAGACTCCAATATCCTGTGAAGGTGGCTACCACAGAACTCACTTATGTTCCCCCACACGACAGTGAGGGTGGAAATAGTTATTTAAGGAGAGTCAGAGAATTATGGGACAACAAGTTAGGGGAAGATGTCATGGATGATCACAGAACCAAGCTTCTTTTTCGCGGCGCCATAGAGTCAGCTGTCTCGGAGACAATGAAGACCCAACTAAGAGGAATAGTGGGGTTGTCTGACATGAATTTTGATGCTTGGTCCTCACAGATTAAACACTATGTGGACCAGAGCAAAGAAAAATATGATAAGGAAAAGGGTGAATTAAACAATATTCAGTTACAATTGGCGAAAACACAGCTGAAGGAAAGCAGAGAGAAGTTGAACCAGGGCAAGAGTGAAGCCAAACAGATGACCCAAACAACAGCGCCATCTCAGGGGGGAAGGGCCACCTCAATATGGCCCTGATCCAGACCCCCCTCCCTTCCCATGTGCGCCAGCCTGCCAGCAGCCACAACAGGCCGTGTACACTCCTCCACAGGCTTACTATCCCCAACCTTATGCCACGCAACCACAACACATGATGGGGGCCCCACTGTACGGTGGCTTCAGGCAACCGAAAAGACAGTGGGGAGGGGGAAATCGTGGCCGAGTTCCAAACAATGGAGGGCAGTTTAGACAACGACAGAATACTTGTTTCAGCTGTGGGCAGCTTGGACATTGGTCCGACGCATGCCCACATCCACCTCAGGGTCAGAGGCCTCAGTCCAACCCAGCTCAATACCCTTATGATATCTATCCACCACAAGCACCACATACACTACAACGGGGTAATAGCCTGCGGCATCAGGCCCCAGGTCATCAGCAAATGCCATAGGGGTGCCCAGATCCGACGGCTGACGGTAACCTGTTTCCAGAACCCATGGTGACTCTGACAATCAACGGAAGAGATTACAGATGTATGCTGGACTCAGGTGCTAGGTATTCCACAATAAACACGCCACTGCCACCATCTTCCTTGATGGTGGCAGTGGATAACTGTGCCAGCTATCGGATTATCGGGTCAATCAGAGGAGTGGTCACTTTCTATTCGAGTCCCATGTAAATGGAAATCGCTCTGTTTTGACCAATCCTTTTTGGTTTCCACTGCCTGCCCGATTAACCTGGTGGGAAGAGACATTTTGTGTTCCCAAAATATCATTATGCAAATGACGAAGGGATGTATCACTGTAACATTCCCGGATGGGACACAGCAACGATGTGCCACACCCCACTCTTATGGCCACCAGTTGCTGCAAGCTGAAGTTCAACAGACGCTGAATGACGAAGCAGAGGTCTGGTGGGGGAGAGTGGAGGACTATGATCGAACTGTTCTGCATGAGACTGTCCGCCGTTGGGGCCCATGGTTCAAGGTATTACACCCGACTGAACCACCTGCGGATCCTCCTCATTGCACGATGAACTATTCGCTGTCTCCTGATGAGAACTATGACACCCTGTGGAGTGGACTTGAGTTTGAAAGCGAGGTCCATGGACATCCTGCTGTTAAGGTCCGAGAGATCTATGTGGGGAAACAAGGTGTGGCAGCTGCGGTGGAACTAACCTCTGAGTTACAAGTTCTATATGTGCTACAAGAGACCTCTGCTCCTCACATCACCTTGCTCATCCAAAGCGGAGGAGAAGCTAAGAACATGGGGCCGATGGTTAAAGCGGGGGTTGATGCCACGGACTGGGTGCCCACTCAAAATGTTAACTTACATTACTCTCAGGCTAATGACATGTACCGTATTGCACATACCTCAGAAGTAAAACTTATACCAGAGAAACACCTGCTAAGCCGCACACATGGTAGGGAAAATACTGACCATGAGAACACACAGCTCATGCTAGATGATTTTCCTGATACATTTTGGACAAAAGGGGGAGCTGATGTGGGATTGATTCCAATGGCCCCAGTGGTAATTGAATTAAAAACCGGAACGGTCCCAATTTACCGTCCTCAGTACCCCTTAAGGGAGGAACAAATAGCAGGGATAGAAAATACAATTGAAGGGTTGCTGCAGGCAGGTGTATTGGAGAGGACGGAGTCCCCCTGGAATACCCCGATTAACCCGGTCCCTAAACCCGGAAAGCCTGACTATAGAATGGTGCATGATTTGAGGCTCGTCAACAAAGTTGTAGTACCAACTCACTATGACACCCCAAATCCTTATACAATGTTAAATGCAATAGGCCCTGATAAAAGATGGTTCACCTGCATTGACCTGGCGAATGCTTTTTTCTGTGTGCCTCTAGCTGTGAGCTCGAGACAAACGTTTGCGTTTACGTATAAGGGGCGCCAATATACATATACGCGGTTACCACAGGGTTATGTGGACTCACCATCAATTTTTAACCATGTTCTGAAGACCATTTTGGCCGAGTTGGAACTACCAGAAGGAGTTGTTTTACTACAATATGTGGACGACATTCTGCTAGCAGGGACTAGCTCAGAAACGATTATGTCCGCTACCAGAACGGTTCTGCGGTGGTTACAGGAAAACGGCTTCAAAGTGTCTAAATCGAAATTGCAGATTGGGAGACAGAAGGTGACTTTTCTGGGGAGAATTGTGTCACCATCAGGGCAAGCTATGACTGACACACAGAAGTCGTCCATTTTGCAACATCCTCGGCCCACGATGGTTAGAGAAATGATGAAATTCTTAGGACTTGTAACATGGAGCTAGAATATTATACCTGATTTCTCGGTGCAGGTGGCTCCCTTGAGGGCGCTAATATTGGGTGCAGGCTATAAAAACTACTCAAAGCCTTTGGTGTGGACCCGGGAGGCGGAGACTGCATTTATTGCCACCAAGCAGGCCATGGCCAGCGCAGCCACGTTGCACCCCCCTGACTACTCGAGACCCTTCCATCTGGATGTTGTGAAAAGAACGGATTTGTGAATTCCGTTCTGTTTCAAAAGGGGGAGGGTAACACAGATCGTAAGGTTTTGATGTACTATAGTGGTAAGCTGGATAACGTGGAAATAGGGCATCCCTCGTGTGTCAGAAACGTAGCTGCTATTGGAAGAGCGTTGATTAAAACGGCCCATATAACAATGGAACACCAGACTGTTGTGCACACATCGCATGGAATAGTTGCGTTCTTACAGTCAAACGCGTTCACACTTTCCACGGCAAGACAATCAGTCATTGAAAATTAAGAGATAAGGTTGTGTAAGATTTAAATGAGGAATGAAGGTGATAAGGAATTAGGAGAGTTATTGTATATATTGTCCATTTTTTGGATTAATGTTTGTAGTTTTTCGAGTTTTCTCCTAAATTCAGAGATGGGCGGTAAATTGTTGAGTGCTGCTATTGAGTGTATAGTGCACGATACACTTGATACAGTATCTTGATGATGGAAGCAAATGTCTGATCAAAGGAACATTTATAGCACCAGTACACGAAATATGGAAACTTGTTACAGACGGTAATGTTCAACAAGTAGTACATCCTTACATTTGGATACGCTAACCATGAGAGGTTGGTGATCTATCAGTAATGAATGAATGGATTGGATCAAACTGAGCATGAGCTGAGTTGTATCTGCAAGTAACAGACATGTCTCCCACCCTCTGCTTTGCTTTTGGGCTGAAGAGCAATAAAAGTGGAGATTAACACTGAAGGCTGGACTTGGAAGTTTCCCTGCCCCTATGGCACCATGGAAAGAGGTGGTAATTGACTTCACAGACATGGGAATGAAGAATCGAGTTGAGGGCAAGAGGTATTTGTTGGTATGCGTTGATCCTTTTTCTAGGTGGGTGGAGGCGATCCCCACAAAATCAGAAAGAGCAGCAGACGTAGTAAAATGGCTGACCAGAGAACTAATACCCAGATTTGGTATTCCAGAAGTCATACGATCGGATAATGGTTCACACTTCTCGAACGCTGAACTACAAGAAATAGAGAAAACGTTCGGGATCAAGCATAAATTTGGGGCAGTTTATCATCCTCAGTCTCAAGGGCTAGTTGAGAGAGCTAACAGAACCATAAAGGAAGGTTTGGCTAAAGTCTGTGCTGAAACGAAGCTGACGTGGGTGGCAGCCCTGCCAATAGTGCTGTATGGGATAAGATCATGTCCTAACTCTAAGTTAGGGATAAGCCCCCATGAGGTATTAACGGGAAGAAAGATGCCTTGTCCGTTAACAACCACTTTGCCTACCACTGTCAGCCCATTGCAGTACCAACATGTGGAAATATCTTACTATATGAGAATGTGTAATAATACTGTGATGAGTATCTCTCAACAGGTGACAGGTCTCTCGAGAGGGGTACCTGATCAATACAAGTTAACGGATCAGATAGCAGCCGGATGGGAATCATTGTTCCCTTTTTATAAATGTGAACAAAAATGTGGATCGACTAAATTATGTACATTTCAATATCCAGCGGCTCACCAATATGACAAGAGATGCTCTGGAAGGGGTGCACAGCCAACTATCGGCCACCTCATTGATGACTTACCAGAACCGAATGGCTTTGGATATGTTATTAGCTGAAAAAGGAGGAGTGTGTGCGATGTTTGGCCAAGCATGCTGCACTTTTATCCCCAATAACACCGCCCCAGATGGATCCTTTACTAGAGCATTACACGGACTCAGAGCCATGTCTGTTGAATTAGCTGAACACTCTGGTATAGACGGCACCGTCGGTAATTGGTTTGGTAAATACTTTGGACAATGGAAGGGCTTCTTACTGTCAGTTTTTCTGACCTTAGTAATCGCAATAGTGGTTTTTGCCCTTTGTGGATGCTGCTGCATCCCCTTTATCAGACAACTATGTCTCCGATGCATCACCTCTGCAATAGATGCTAAAATACCCCTGCCATACCAGATGGCTTTGTTACATGAAAGGATCCAATTGTTAGGGCCGGAGGAGATTGGAGAGGAGATAGGTATGGTAAGAACCGACTTCGAGGGACCTGAAGAAGAAATCCTTTTAGGTTCAACATTCCTGTCCGCGTGATCTGCTAACTGTTGCACACATCATATATAGTGGATGCATACACGTAGATGGTGTGATATTTCTAGGCTAGGATGTATTCTGTGTCTATTATACTCGGTTTAGATTTTTTGTACTGTTTAGGGATTTCCATGACTGCTGCATTCACCCGTATTCACTGATATAGATATTTAGCGTTTAGATTGGTGGTTTCTTTTGATTTTTTTTGGTTTACATAATGAATTATGTAAAAAGGGGGAATTGATAATCAAAAGTTATTTTCATGGCTTAGTTGGGGGTTTGCTGTCTTGTCTTGATTTAAGAGTTAAGTAAGGGGGGAAGCAGGATCTGCCAAGCAGGCAGACACGAGTCTGACAGGATGGGGAGTCAGTTTATGTCCTGGCTGAGGAATGTAAGGTCTGCGGGTCAACTAGAAGATTTACCAGCCAAAGGGGGGTTAGAGACACACCAACACTATTCAACATACACACTCTGTTTACGATGTTTACGTTAAGTCAGGAGTCTGGACATTGGATGTGACCGGATCTTAGATGCGGGAGGTGGAAGGTCCTCCTCTACGCCAGTTTAGGGCCAATAGAAATATTTCCTTCTCTGTCTTTCAAGGGTTATAAAACATGATGTTCTTGCTGATGTTAGTTAGTTGTTCTTCCGGCCTGTGTGCTGCCTGAACTGCTCCTGCCTTTGCAAACGCAGCGCTGATACTTGACCTGTGATCTGACAAATAAATTTTCCAGAACGAGAGAAGTTATTCGGCTGAATTTTTGATAACCCCGACCAGGCTCCAAATCTTGAACACATATTCTTACAGCGCGAGTCCTCCACCCCTCCACCGAGAAGGGGCTTGGTGTCCCGTCGCTGAAGGCGATGACACACCTGCCTGAGGCGGATATGCTGATGGGTGGTGTAATTGAGAAGTTGCTCGGGTCAGTTGACACTGACCTGGCTCTGCTTGAGCGTAGACACCAGTTTCTGCAGCGTAATGTTCTCCTCCTCCAGCTCGGTGTAATCCTGAAGCAGTCTGGTCTCTCTGAACTTGTACTCCTTAACCTCCTCCCTCATTCGGCTCCTCTGTAGCTCCAGCATCTCGTTACTCTGGAGCAAAGACAATTGGATTAAATAGTAAGAAAAGCAAGAGATGGGTTCAATGGAGGGGGGGGGGGACACATTGTTCATTCAAAGTCAATCTCGGAACCAGGCTGTAAATACTCCTCCTATCTGATAGCATGAGGCATTAGCCTCTCTTAGCTTATCAAACCATTGCATGATCTTAAATGCAATGAGTCAGCATGTTCAGACTCCATATCCTTATACTGGGTCGCCTGCTGAGCACAGATAGAAACATGAGAATTTGCTGGGCCCGATAAAGTGCCGGCGAGAGGAATGCGCTGGCATCAGAAGTCATAACTCTAGTAGGACTGGGAATGTATATTGAGACCTCAGCACAACCATCTGTCAGTTTTAGACCACGGAATAAAATCCACTAGCTTCGAAAAAACTGACCATGTGAAGTTACTAAGTCAATTGTTTGACCGTGATGATGTAACATTACAGCACATTGCGAGAAACAGATTAGAGAGTGTTAAAAGACGTATGGCTAAATGCGTAGAACACAATGCAACTATACAGGTTTGAAGCGTTGTATTAAGTATGGAACAATAAACAGAGAATGTGTTTCACTGCAGCGCTGCCCTGCAGCTCTCAGCACATATGGCAGAGGTGCTGATCCACAGTGTCGGTGGGGGGTTAAACTCACAGGCTCACCTGAGACACAAGGCCTCATCTGTGCTCTTAGCCTCCACAAATTTGTGTGCTTTTAGATCTGGCAACTGGAGTGAAACTAAAGACCATTATGATACACGGAATCTTTGGATTTGCACAGTAGCTGACAGCAGCTCCTATACCTTTAGAGCTAATGGAGCGCATCGAAGTACAGTGAGACTGCACAGACAACTCTATTAGAAGAACCCTGAGGAATATCAAAGAAACCAAGCGACATTTTAGGAACAACCATTATTAGCATGAATAACTAATCATACAATTATAATTGATTAGAATAACGTTTTCTCGCGACATCTTGAGTTACAAATTCAGGCGGGGAATTACTTTGAGCTGCGTTTGATGTGAGCTGGATTAGAGGCCCAAAATCTATCATTGAGGCTCTGCAGAAGCGTAGCTGATCAGCACGATACATACTGGCAATGAGCATTGAGCATTGAGCCCGCCGCGGTGCATAGCGGGACATAGTTACAGCTTTATTGGATTCATGGTTACACAGGACGGAGAGTAATTATTTGCTAATGAGACTAATTGGAAGTTGAGATTTTTCAAAATAAGCTTTAGTATTAGTGTCTCTCAGTAGACCCTAAAAACATTCTTTTTACTTAATGCTTTCATGTTCTGACTTCAAACCGCCTAAATACAGCAAATGAAAAACCTTGTCTGGCAGTAAGTCAAACTTTTTTACGTAAATTCTTCCCTGGGAAATCTGCTGATGTTGAAAGTATTTGTGAGGATTGCTGGGAACCGTTTGATTGGTCCCCCGGTGCAGCCGCAAAACCTGCTCCTCAAGATGAAAAGACAACCCCCTCCTCATTAGGGCACGGCGCGCGCTAATGATGATATCAAAGGGGCATCATCATCAAAGAGCCACAATCATGATGCAAACAGTTGACAGGTGTGAGTGTGTGTTTCTGTGTGAGTGTGTGATGAACTCATTGGAAATATATTGCCAGCGCTCATCAGTTCACAGGTGCCCCCCAATTTCAAAATATTATGCTACATAATGTGGAATATTCTAATGAATCCATCTGTCGTGTACGTCATTGCTCTGCTTACGTTGACGCGTGTCAAGATGTGTCATGACGTGCAGAGAGGAAGAACTCAACCTCACGTGACTTCCCGACAAAAAGAGTGAAAGAAAGTGTGTCCTGTGGTTGTTTGCAGGACGAGCACAGCCCGGCTCACTCTGGCCGGACACATGTGCCGAGCTCAGGGCATTTCACTTATTCCCCAGCTTAGCACCGGATTTGCCCCCCCAACAATGGTGCCGTGGCCGGGGGCAGTCTGACCCCTGATCGAACCCCCCACAGTGGCTGCAGACATGCATGAATGCATGAGCGTACGCCTCGGGTGCACATACGCACGTGCGTATGTGGCCGTTTGGTCCCATGAAAGTTAATGTGCAGTCATAACCCCTAAACCCTAACCCCTGACCCACGAGACTGTGGAAAATGGCCTCAAATAGGAATAACGTAAAAATAGGAGACGGTTTCTTGTAATTTTTCGGACAATCCCGATTTGCCTTTTTTGTCTCCGACCTTCTTTGAACCGACAAACCATCTGCAGAAGGTGCAGCGTGGAACTGTTGACAAGCTCACCTCCCGTAGCTCCTGTGAGAGTGCGTTGAGCCTCTCGTTCTCGGCCTGCGCATTGGACGCCACGGTGCGGCTCAGTGTCCCCTCCGTCTGCAGCACCAGAATACGTCCCATGTAGTAGGCCTCCTTGGAGGCCGACTCCTTTAATAACGTCTCCTCATTGCTCTCCCCGTCCTCCGCCACCTTACGCTGGTTGCTGTAAGCCTGGCCGAATGCCTGAAGACAAAGAAAAGAAGGGTTATATATGTATATATATATATAGTTGAGGACCAACAAATATCTTTTAGGCAAGTAAAATTCAAAGTGACAGTGATCCCTGTCATACAACACAAACACCCTGATGCATGTGACGGATTTGCACCCACTGGCATGTTAGAGTAACGCCAGCACATCTCTCACACCAAGAGCCACCAGGCTGACAGCAGAGGCCGGCCCCCAAGAATACCTGCTCCCCGTCCATGGGAGATGATGTTTCACTGATCAATAGACACACTGTTCCCATTTTCCTGACACGGGTTTTCACGGCACCGAGCGCTGACTTGTCGTGACGAAGGAGCCAAGGCTTGATTGAGAAGATCAAAGCACGCGGCAACAGCAGAACGAGCCTCCGATTATCAAAGGCGACCGTACAAGAATAGTGGTGGAGCGATACGCCAAAGCTCATCTGCATGGACTAACGACAAAGTGACATTTGGGGATATTCAGTTACATCACGCAAGGTTAAAGGACTAACGTATCATATCACACGAAGGTGTACCCTTGACAAGGTTAGCTTAACATAGACACAATTTCAGGATTTGTAACGCACTCCTCAACACCGATGCAGCAGCTGTCTTGGTGGTTCAATAAATACTATGAGCCATTCTTCAGTTTCTCGGCAAATCAGCTCGAAATAAAGTGTTGCACACAGCGGCCCCTCAGAGACACGGCTGATCAATAATGCTGTCTCGGAAAACCACATGAAACTTTAAACAATTCAGCAAGGGTAGTTATCATAGGACACAGTTTATACCCGCTCAAATTTTCGATGCAGCCTGAATTCTCAGGGAGCCTTATTTTTCGGACTGGAGTATTATTAATTCACAAGAGTCCTTCCAACCTTGCCGCAACTTAATAAAACCATTTTCTCTGTTTTCTCCCCCCGGATGAATCATTTAGAAGGTACAAGCATCCATTATTTGGAGAAGACCTAAGCTCCAGCGTTTTTTCTTCCTATTGGCCCATTTAAAAATCTTAGTGGGTTAAAAATCCCACTAACTTTCAAAATTCATGAGTGAACTTTCCTGCTTATGTAAGCAGAGTGGAGTTGCTGAGGTCCTGTTGTTGGATAGGGGCAATTCATTACAGTCAGAAATCTACGTAAGTAGATAGAAAGTAAATAGAGCTCAGGCTTAGAGAGGAGGTGAGTGTTCAGCCATTATGAAATGATGTACGTCCAAACCCAAAGTCTGTGTGAATGAATGAGATAAGCTGATTTCACATAGTCAGCTTAATTGGCCACCTGCCCCTGTCACATCTGGCCTGCTGTTTTGAATACTTCTCACGTGCAGAGACACTACAGATGCTGGTTACACTCCATCAAGCAGACATGGGGAAAGTAAAGGAAAATGACACACACACTTTTTATATACTTTTATCATGGCATTTTATTTACCCTCTGAAATACAGATGGGTCAGTTTGCATATGAAAGAGAGCCAGTAATAATTCACAGTCCACTAATGGCTGTGAATACTGACTATTTTGCCCTCAAACACAAAAAGCTGTCCTCAAGGACTTGCTTTATAATGAGTATAAAGCACTCATGCAAAAATGCTGTATTTGAATCGTCTCTTAACCTTCCCTCCCTCACTGCATCTCTGAATTCAGTATTGAGGCTTGATAAACATGGCGTTTGACTTAAAGGCCGACCAACAGACGGACGGACAGAAGAACCGTCACATATGCAGGCGTTTGAGAAGCAACTCGTCGGGGGTCTTGGATGCATAAGCGAAGCAGATGGTTTCATTGCAACCGGGCCTCCGCGAGCCGAGCCGTGCCGCTCGCATCCGTCTGCCAAACACTCCTCCTGCAGGAAGTCCCAGTGAGCCACTGTGATGACGGAGGCTCAGCTTTCACACAGAAAGAAGCAGGCGCTCAGGCGCTCTGGCCCTCCCTGCGCCACGGTTTCAGGGTGGGCTAAAAATAACACTGTGCCAGCGCTGCATTTTTCAGGCTATTCACATGAACGTCACTAACAATACTGCATGCCTTATCATTATAATGACAGATTTTTAGCAGACCTGCTTCTATGACCTAATTGACAAGCGTAGCACAGTTACAGAAGCCAGATAACATGTGTTTTTAACAAAAACGTAATTCCATTTCCTCGGGTTGATTTTAAGATTGAGTCGCTGATTGGCAGCCTGCTTGTTTGTGTATTAGTGAAAACCCTGCAATCCATTCAACCTCGAGGCTCCTCGGCCTCCTGTAACTCAGCAGATGAAGTCCGAACAAAAGGCTCTATAGATATTCATCCCTGGGGCCAGGGAGAGAGGAGTATACAGAGGGAACAAACCAACCGCTGCTCTAGTGTGAAAGGAGGAGCGCGTGCCACCCTGAAATCCTTCCCTGCATCCTGCAGCTCCTAATTAGGAGTCAGGGGAGATCCTGTCAGTTAGTGTACTGTACATACAGCAGAAATCTATTTTTATCCCGAAAGGGAGGCGAAGAGTGAACTATTTTTACATTAGCAAAGGATCTGTGAACTTGAACTGTGAACGGGATTTCACTGGTTGGAAATCACTGTTAAAACAAGTTTATTTATAGCACTGTTAACCATAGCAATAATAAACCATCATTTATTGTTTATCACTGTACTGTCAGAAATTAAGTAAAATTTAGGATTTTAATCTTTAATCTCTAAAATATTATTTCATGAACGTACAATGAGAAATGAGAAATGTTATTCATCATTTGGAGACATAACAGCCTTAAATCTGGATCACAGGCTCGATTCAAATATCAACCAAAAGCCACCTCGTAGAGCTCTAATCTGTCTGCGGCAACATAATTTTGATAAGTTATGGGGAATCTAATGAAAAACTCAGACATGCACTTAGATATATACACAAAAAGAGACAGACGCACCCACACACACACACACACACACACACACACACACACACACACTGTTGCTTCCCGTCCAGATGGCCGGCCCAGCCAACCACATCAGGGATTTCAGCACCACGGAGAGAGACGTGCAGCGTCACTGTGTGTGCAGGGCAGGGTGAGAGCAGACACATTCTTGCTGTCATTCACTTCCTTGGTGATCATTTGTAAAAAAAAAAAATGAGACGTTGTCATCGCAATTGTTGGAGACCGAGTCAAATTATTTATTAAAAAAAAGGAATTGACAAGACTACCCAGAATAATTCCAATAAATAATCACATAAGAACAGCATTAAGAGCACAACAAATGGATGAGACACAAGTAAAAAGCAGCATTTGATCGATCATTAATAACAAGACAACACATGCAAACACTACATTTCCCACAGTGTAACCCGTTAGTGTCACTCATTAGACCATCCACACCTCCTGATCACCTGACGAGACTGGAGAAAACACAAGCACACAGTATTATGTTTGACTGCAGTGCAATATGAAATGACAGAACTGTAGGAAAAACCTTTCCACTGCACAAATTCTGCTATGTAGCTTGTCAGTTCTGTCTTTTACAAATTAAAAGATTAGTATTATTTTTGGCAAACTAATTATGTAGATGTCTGTAAACAATACTCCACTCTTTTCCAGATTACATTTCACACACTACACACTACATTTCCCACAGTGTAACCCGTTAGTGTCTCTCATTAGACCATCCACACCTCCTGAGTCAAGCTCCCTCCACGTCCACAGAAAATATCATGAAAGGACTTTTTCTACATGCTGTTACATATTACATATGCTACAGAAATGAGTTACTCGTGTGATGTATTTAAAACCTGCATCCATGACGAGCCGAGCTGAGGCAGGTTGGTGGGAAACTTTGCTCTGGGACACAGTGCGTCGCCCTTTAACAAGGACAAAGAAATGTCCTTTTGTGCTTCTCCGCCACCGGGGAAAAAGTGCCAGGTCAAGAGATCTGTCATCTAAACACACAAGCACATCTTCACATAGCAAAGCTGACTGCCGAGGCTTGATCTGCAGCGCCCTTTGCGCCTCCATGAATCACACTCCACATAAACATGACACACTTTTAGCAGCACATTTTATAGCGAGCAGAATTTTCCCGCTTTCGGTTCCCCCTTGTTGAAATGTAATACAGCACAGCTAAGCCTATTATTTTGCTGATAACAATATGCTATTATGCTGACACTCAAGGAATATATCATTATTTTGGTGGGTAATAGCTGCATGAGCCCTCAATGTGCTTTTATAATGGAAAGTCCCTTCCATTTAGAAACATCTGTTCTCTCATCAACACAATGCGTACGTCTTGTGTGCCAGCAGACCGGCTAGGTTTCTTTAAAAGATGGGGCTTGTTAAAGCGATTGAATTGCTCTTGAAAGAAAGATGCCATCACTTATGAGTGCTCAGTCTGGGCCTGGATGGAGGGACGTTGAATAGGGAGACAGAGAGGCGGCTGGGCGGAAGATTTGATCCCAGATGTCTCTTTAGATCCTGTCCTTCCTTCTCAAATCGATCCCCCTCTCCTGCTGAGTCTGATTCACTATTATAACTTCAGCGCCGCCTCGATGAGAGGCCCTTATACCTTCTAACCTTCATTTCATCAGGGTATCAGGTTTTTTTAAAGATAGGAGTCACAATATAAAGGAATTCATCCCCAACTCCAGCCATTTGTCTGCAGAGAGAACAACAGAAAAACAGTGAGAAGGAGGAGCCGAGGCTTTAAAGCCTTCGATATGGACAGAAGGAAGGAATGTTAAATTAAATATAAGGTAGAAAACAATAAATCATCATACTTTCTTTAAGCACAGTGGATTTGTCCTATTGTGTTGTTACTTGATACTTGATATATGATACTTTCATTATCAAGTAATATGCAATTTCTCAAATATTGAGAGAAATTGTTACCCAAAGATCTCCAGTTTACCATCACTGAAGACATGAACATCCTTCACATTCATGTAGTATTCATTTGATTCCTTTAGTCTTTCTTTAAATAACCGTAAAAATGAACTTAATGAAATCAGTCAGTATTTGGTATTTTGGT